AAAAAAAGGTGTTAGTATGAGGTGTTGATATCGATATGAATGAGAAAAAGTCCCTCACCCATATCATACAGTGTATTTAAGAGAGAATACTGGTTGAATGTTGCAGATCATTTATCCTTGAATGAGTACATATGATCATTAGTTTAATTTAAATATTGTTGATTCTCGCAATACATTTCCATTAATATTGATGCCCACATTATGCTCAGACTATCTATTTCGTAGGATGAATCTAAAACAAAGCATTTTTCTATGAATGTTTCAATAAATAATATTAATTTTTTCCTGCTCTCAAATTAGTAGTAAGGAATTCTTACTTGCAGCATATTCAATAAAGAACATTACAAGACACTATTTTATACAAAAAAGAAATACTTGACATCCAAAGCTCCTAAATTCTCAAACTCAATGTAAACTGTCCTAAAATTAAATTGTTTCATTCGAATGTAATGCTTGCTGAGAGGATTTCGTTGTTGTATAGCAAATGAAAAGTGATCTGTATTGTTTTTATTACATTCTTCATTCAAAATACTTCATATTTCCTAATTGAATGTTTTTAAATATTCTACATTTTTTTACTTTAGACTAATTCAACACTAAATTATTTCTTTTCGAATGTAACAGAACTTAGCCTCATAATTTATCAAATATGGTCTGTAGATTTAATTGAACATCTTTCAACCATTGTTAATCTATCTAGTCTTAAAAAATTGACGTTCATGTTTTGGTCTAAGTCTGAGATTAAAAGTTTCAATGCCGGCGTGAAAATTCTATTCAATCAAGCATCGAATCTTCGTTCGATTGAAATAATATGTGATTTTGAAACAATAGAGATGTTATTTCTTAATGATATCCTTTCAAACTTACCTCGTCATGTCAAACATCTTAAAACTAGCATTCAGAACGTGGAACACGCAACAATGATATTGGAGAGAGCCGAATATTTATCAAATGTCAAATTTGAAGTACCTAATGGATATGAATTCTGGAACCATATCACTACATGGCTCTCCCAAAACGGAAGAAACGCTACAATTCAGGAGAAGCCTTTTCGTCATCCTTGTGAAATGGCATCGCCTAGGTCTAAGATGTACTTGTGGTTTAGCAAGAGCATGAATCAGGGGCGTGGCCAGAAGGATACTCGGGTACCCTCCCATGGCCAAGAAACATCTGGAGGGGGGTACAGGTGGAAAATCTTTCCCAGAAAAAAAAAATTATTTTGCTGCTGGTGTGCACCCCCATAATGGGTAGTGTTCTCCCTCCCTCCACCGCCCACTCTTAGAAAATTCCTGGCTACGCCACTGGCATGAATAAACAAATGAATGCATTAGTAAAAGAGAAATGTGTGAAGCTAATGCATCTCAGTGACTAGTTATAATTCGATAATTTCATTTTTCTGTATATCCACTTGATTTCTACCGTTTATTAACATGTTAATCGATTTTTCGTATAACTGATCTTTGAATAAAATTCTACATCTTTATGGTTATTGTTCTCTTTCTTTAATAAACAGTTCGTATGAAAATATTTGGGCAAACAAATCTTTTTCTCTTCATGCACAATCACATATCAACTAGAATTATTCCATGGATTTATTTAATAACTCTGATGTTTATATTAGCGATGTGTGAGTGGATATTCAGGTGCAAAGGATCCATATAAATGCACGAACAATTGTTCAGAGAAATCTTAGGAGCTTTCTTAGTATTTGAGGATCATTTGAAAAATGATGGGTGGTATATAGGACATGTCCTAATTTTATTTTATTTTTCCGAAGAACTTAACATTCGTTCAAATCTGACGTTTAAACTTGCTGGATAGAGACTCTAGTCCTCTACGACATCACCGAAATATATTTTTTGTATAGGTTTTTCTTGTAGACACAAACATGATAGAAATTAAACTTATTGAATTGGGTGTGGATGTGGATAAGATAACCACAGCTATAGCCACACCCACACTCACATACCTTGTTTAGCTGAATTGCATGTTGTGTATCAAGAATTATCACAGAAGATTTTACAAGAGAAGCAACGCGATACAATTGTGCCAATGTGATACGATTAATTTATAGAAGACAAAGTGTTGGTTCGAAAGACTATTACATTTATTTTCTTTTGGTGTAGATTAATTTTTTTTCTAACTTTTTTAAATACAATTGGAAAATAACACAATGGTTTTGTTCACAACAATCGATAAATAGAATGATGATTTTTAATGTTTATTTATGTTACAAAGAGGATATGAAAATGAAAACAAAAAGACAAGACAGATTTTTTTATTAATATTTCACGTAAAAACAAAAAAATTAGTATTTAGTTGTACTTGATGCCAGATATTTTATAATAATTTCATTTGCTAATATTTCATTAGCCACTAAGTAGTCTTGTTTTTGTTGCTTTAAATCATAAATACGTTGTTCCATGTTTTGTTTTTCATCATCACTAAGATTACCATTATTTAAATTACTTTCTTCTTGGAATAAGTTTGCTTCGATGTTCGCTATAATCGCTTCGTTTCGACCGATCGAAACAACAGAAAGCAGTCTTTGATGTAATATTTTCCTAATCTATTACCATGTTTTTGAGTATTCAAATGTCGTTCATGTGTTCTAACAGGAAAACCTTTATAAATGAGATAAATTATAACTAAGGGTTGATATATTCAAATAAGTAATACCAATTTGCTACGAAATATATTTTAAATTTGATGTAAACATCACTGATACAAAATTTGCGGGCTGTCGACCATTATCACTCGGCATAATCAAGAGAATGCAATATATGAAGTTACATGTATTAAATTGACAGAGCAAGAATGAAAGAATGTATTCTTTTTTCTTTCCATACATTCTTTTTGTCTTCCTATCTATTTAATACGTGCAACTTTATCTTGCATTCTCATGATGATGCCGAGTGATATTCGCACACAGCTCACGAGTTTTTGATAAATTATTTTCACATAAAATCTAAAATGTGTTTCGTAGCAATGTGGCATTGCATATTTAAATATTTATTTGTAGCTGCTTCACCAACTAACATTATATTATGATATTATGTATATAGTGTAGCCAAAAAGTTACTTTACCGGAAAAAATTCAATATCTCCATTATGGCTCGAGCAAACGAGCAGGCTACTTTTATTGATGGCAAAGACATATTCAAGCTTCATATCCATAAATACATGCCTAGAGACACCCTTTGTTAAGTGTATTTTTTTCTCTGTTTGAAAAATTGAAGTTTTTTTTCAGACCAAGTGTTACTTAACAAAGAGTCTCTTCAGGTATATCTTTATGGATATAAAGCTTGAGCATGTTTCTATCATTGAAACAAAAATCAGCTTGTTTACTCGAACCCTAATGAAGATATTAAATATTTTTCGTTAAAGTGATTTTTGGGTGTGGGGTATTGGTATGGATGGATGTGAGTGTGGGTATGTTGGTGTCGGCTAATGCCAACCATCGGCCACATCCACACCCCACACCAGCGCCTACACCGACACCCACACATACACCCTATTACATTTTTTTGTCATACCATGTGCCTTAACATCTAATGCAGAGCCCTGATGAGTGTTTGAATATTTCAATAAATAACATGAAACGCGTTGGCAAATTAAAATCTGCATTTCTTAAAATTACTTTTTTGACACAAGTCACAATAAATTATTATTTTCAAATTCATCTAAATCTCGACAAAATAATCGATTGCTGAAAAGCAAACGTGGAGTACAAGCAGATTGTATTTAATCTTTTCTTCAAGATATATAGGTCAGTCTGTTTTTCGATTAGTCTAAACAGAATTTTTAAATTGCCTATTATTCATTTTTTATGATTATTTTAGTAAACATGTCTTAAAATCAGCTTGAAAAACGGTGATCCAACGACAGTAAATTCCACTTTTCTCAACACAGGAATCAAATATAGAAAATCCGTTGAGACAAAATTTTATTCTCATCGAAACCTTCAAAATAAAATAAAATATTGGATATTATCTTGAGCTAGGTGAGAGTTATATTAATTTTCGTGTCTGGAAACCGTGTTTTGAGAAAAACGCTAAAGAAGTTTTAGAAATGGATGTTTTAGTTCAAATCCAGAACAAATCATATTACAATGGTTTGTTTTGAATATAGTCCAAACGCCCGTTTTAAAGTACGTAATAGATGAAGATAGCTAACGCCATCTGACATGCTGGTTCGGTGTGGTGTGGATGTGTATTTACACTTTGATTTTATTTCAACTCACGCAATACCCACACCCAAATTTTAAATTCAAATACAGTATTAACATTAAATCAAATGAAATTGAGTCAAATTTAAAATAAAATAAAATAAAGAAGAGAATTAAATAATGTCAGATATCTCAACCTTCTTAACAAAACAATAATACTCACACCAATTCCGAAAATAACCTTCACATCTCCACCCACGCCCACACACCAAACCACCAAAATTGTGAACACCAGTTTCGTTCTTGTCTATTACGCTCTATAATACGATAGAGTCTGTCAATATCGCGTAATCTCAGTTCGCGAGCATGTTTTTTCTTTGTGTGGAGATACTCAGGTCATTGCTGCTCGGTCGAAACCGGTCAGAAAATCATCGGAATTTTCCGTCAACATTCTGACTGGAATCCGATGGCAAGAAAATTGTCGAAACTGAACGGAACCGACCGATTTCGTTATTTTCCGGCGTGTGGAACGATCGAACTGGGTAGTCACATAAACATCATAGGTGGTTTATCTTTATCGTAAATGACCTGCTAAACTGCTTCCGAAATTACGATCAGGTAAAATCTTTGAATTCTTTAAGGTAGAACTAGAGTAATCCAATTTTATTCAGAATCGAAATTTTCAATTCACATCAATTTCAATTGAATCATGATAGTCTCACAAAGCATGACAAGTGATTAGTCTTTTTTCCATTCAGTTCGCTTCTCTTGCTCTAATCGATTCTTAGCAAAATTCAAATTATACGAAAACATATTGAATCATTCACACCGATTAAATTGTCTTCAGAATGGCAAATTCGTTCGTATCGAGTAGTTCACGAGCGAGTTGAATCACTTGTTCGAGGAATTTGTCCATGTCCGTGAGTCTCGTTCGATGATTCGTAATACACATCCTCAAAGCGAATGTATTCGTACCAATGACAAATGGTGAAACAATGGCAATGCCTCGTTCTTGTATCATTATCAATAAACGTTTATTAAATTTGTTTAACATGTCGTGTTGGTCGATTGTATTCGACTGACACACAATATAACGAAAACAAACAATATTTAATGTTACTTTGGCCAATAATTCGAATTGATTCGAATGCTGTTCGATTAGATGAGCAAAATAAAATGCTTGATCAACATTTTGTTCCATAATACGTCCGAATCGTTCGATTCCATACGTTTTCAATGTCATCCAAACTTTTAAGGCTTTCGTATTGCGTGAAAGTTCAAGACCATAATCACTGAAAAAATGTTCGCCTTCACTCGGTGTTATACCGCCGTCCATCAATGTCAAATAGGATACTGTCGGTTGAGCAAATGTCGAACGATGTAATTGACCATCGCGCACAAGAATACAACCGCATTCGTATGGAACAAAAAGCCACTTATGCAGATCAAATGCGATCGAATCGGCTCGTTCCAAGCCGGTGAACAATGGTCGAAGGCGTCGTGAACAACATGCAACTGCACCAATAGCACCATCAACATGAAACCAGAGATCATTCGGACGACGAGCACAAATATCGGCTAAACCTTGTAGATCATCAATGGCTCCAGTCCCGACTGTACCGGCCGAGCCAACAATAAAGCCACATGCGTTCGGATCGATGCACGCCTCTAATGCCTGAAGAAGAATCACCTAATTAGAACGGAAAATATGTCTGATTGCAATTACCTGCACATCAATTTGTCGTTGTTCATTTGTCAAAACATAAACAATATTTTCTTTATTGATACCGAGTAGATTGGCAGCTCGGACAATACAACTGTGCGTATCTTTCGAACAGTAGATAACCATAGTTCGTTGATGAAATTTTTTTCTGGCCACTGCCAAAGCAATGATTGTAGCCACTGATGTACCACTGACGAGAATGCCCGAACTTGTCTCATCATTCGGAAAACCCAGCAATAGATTGAGCCACGACAAGACTTTACGTTCTAAATAGATACTTGCCTGTTGACCACCCCAAGACATTGTATTCATTGTTCCAGTTATAAATTCGGCTAGAGCTCCAATTGTTGAACCGGTGCCGTAGACATGACCCCAAAAAAGAGGATGAATATTACCCATAATATAGGGAAGAATCGTCGCGCAAACTTCATCCTAGACTTGCCACGGTGATTGACCTTGCAGTGGAAGATCACCATTCAGAATACTTTGCTTGATTGTTAATGGTAATGGGCGCCACGTTGGCCGGAGACGAACGTCGCGCATGTAATCGATCATGTTGTCCATAATTTTATGTCCTAGCAATCGTAGATCATTCCAATCGGATGGATCGAGTGAGATTTCGTCTGTTGTATTTGTTACGAGTCTTAATTCAATTCTAAACGACCATAATTTTTCATAGTTACGACTACCGAAACGTACTGGAAACGATATTTCAAGATTTTCATCCACTGTTACACTAATATTCGATATTGATGTTTCGAGTAAATCAATGATCAACACATCGAATTCATCGATTGTCTCACAAAGACTATGTGTCAACGTTGAACATTGATAGTTATTCAATGACACGATTCGTGTCAATATTCCATGATGATGAAGTTCGATATTGAGACATTGACTCGAATCATGCACCAATTGAAGACAGTAGTTGTCGCGTAGTGGATACATGGCTTTGATCAAAACAATGGAAACAAGTCAGTGATACTATTACAACTTTTTGTTATCATGCCTTCAGTGTGAAAATGACGGTCAAAATGACTAAAATAAAAGTCAAACAATGCTTGAGATTAGTGATATCGAAGTCATGATTACAAGGCTCGTAGCACTCTTTCTTTTTCTTTTGCTTATCACATTTAAAAAGAGCTGATATTTCAGAGCCCACGGAGCAACGATGACAAAGGCATAAACTACATGACTTCTAACATAAAAACGGGAGACTTTTGATAAATCTCAACATAGACAGCGGAATAAGAAGTTTGGAGCAAGAGCTCGAACAGCCTAACTTTTGAAAATTTTGCAGGAAAATTCTTTATTTTCTAGCAGAATCTCGTGAAAAAAATTGTTTGAATTCCCTCAACCTAACAATCATACTACCGATATTTCATTATAGCTGTTTCATCTACATCGTTTCGTTCAACAATTCGATGACCCTCATACTCTAGTCATCTATCTCGTATCCATCTTTTTGACAAACAGACGCTCGCTATGCTAGACCTTGAATTCAATATAGGCATTTTGTTTCTTTTTCTTCAGAGTTTTGACGTTTCTGTTTTGAACACCTTTTCCTAAGACGACCGTTCTCATCGGAAAAAGCCCATATTAACTCTTTTGTACTGAATGTAGCAAGGATTTTCTTTATGAAAAAAACTACAAAATAAAAGAGGAATTTTTGAACAGACAATCATAATTTGAGGTATGTTCAGATTTCCGAAAAAGGAAATTACAGAAATTTCCGAAGCTTCCATCAACTCGATGACTACATAGCAGAGCAAATAAAAAATTTTTGCAAATATTAGAAATTTTAGAAATTTCCGTAATTTCGGAAATTTCGCTAGGTACAGAATTTCGGAAATTACATGATTTTGTTAAGTACTAAACAATTTAGAACAGAAGCGCTTGAAATTTTCACAACTTACAAAATTTCTTTTTTCGGAAGTCGGAACACTGCTGGACATTCCACGACCAATTTGTATATCTAAAAGAAAGACAGAAATTAAGTAAAGGTATTTTCGATCATAGATAAGTTTTGAATAAGTTTAATAAATGTGATGAAATACATTAAAAAAATAACAACTTAGACAGTAGATGAAAATTGTTGTCTGGAAATGATAGACAATTTTTTTCGTTTCTAATGAATATTTTCTTTAATCAAATGGGATCAATGTAAATTTTCAGTTTGATATGATAATAGCTGAAGGGTCGATATCAGTGATAAATTCATAATATTTTGAAAAAATTCAAGTTTTATTATTTTTTACTGTTAGTAATATTTAATAACATTTTGACGTAGTTGAGCATAGAGATATTCATCATAAGATGTCTCACTATGTTGAATTTTGAATGTATCCAATATTCGCCTTTAGCGGTCAAACAAACATAAAATTTCCTTTATTATTTGTTTAGTAACCTTCCTCAATGGATTTTTTTACGTACAAGAAAAGCTTACCACACTGAGAGAGAAAGAAAACAGTTTTTTCTTTATTCAAATGACATCACATTCGGAAAACGGAAAAATTGATGTTGAATAACTTGAAATTTTTCTTTTCTCGCTCAAGTTTTGTGCCACAAAATTACCTTGGAAGTTAAAGTAATGAAATAAAAAAAAGAATGACGTTTTTTTCTCATTAAAATGGAAAAAACCAGTATGAAACAACATTTTTGATTGCTTTCAAGTGCGTTCATAGTTGCATTTGGATTTCTCACTCTCCTCGATGTTTTACATGTCCTTCACTATCTTATATCTAAATCTGTTACTAAAGTCTTAGCTCTCGATCGATGGCTGAACATGACTTCGATATTATGCATCAACAGCATTTATTTGTTAATTGTTGAGCGAACCATTTTATTTTGATTCTATCGAACGATAGATGATACTTCACTATAAATCAGTTTCCTTCATCTGAAACAAGCAGTTCGAATTAGTTTGCCCTGATAGTGATTAGCAGTAGTTGTACGATCACATTGATAGGTTAAGCTGGTTGATGTTTTCCGTAGTTGACATGATATATATTGCACTGATTTCTTTGATCTTCGTTAACTATTTATAAGAGGATCTGTAAACAATCATGTTAAGTGGATTAACTCAAGGCTAGTTCATTTAGTTTCACTCGATGAAGCTAATGCTTACACTAGAAACATAATGATTTTTATTTTTATTCATAAATGCTGGAATTAGCTTATTTGAGATTAGGGTGAGATAATACCTCTTTTTTGTCTTTTAGCCGATAAGTGAGATCAATAATGGATAATTATACGTTACAAAATGAAATACTCATGAATCCTCCGCACAACAGAAATATGAATAACGAGAAATTCGATTTACTTTTTGCAGAACTGTATTAATACAAAAGATGTGCTAATGATCATCGAAGTAAAACAATGCCTTTGAATCAAAACGATTGGATATTTGTGGCCGTCTATCTCGATCTTGATCCTTCGAAAAGAAAACCGTTCAACATTCGATTGGGTAATTTTGATAATGAAATGGTCGTGGTTGATTTTAGTCATAGAGATATTGAACGATGTCAAATATATCTTAAGCAGCAAACTGATAAAATGAAACAAGTTTTTCTCTCTGTCAATAATCGGCTTGCTACATTTGACTTTATTTCGTCCGTGCATGATTTACATCAATTACATTTGATCTAGGTAATTCACACTGATTCGAATTACGACGTTTATACACAGTTTCTAGAAAAAATGAACACTAAAAGCAAATGGAAGGTAAAATTCAACAAGATAACCGAGTATTTCACGTTATATACATAAAGAAATGAATACATTTAGCTCATCGAGATTCACTCGGAATGGGAAACACTATTTCAACGAACAACGATTCATGATTCAGGGTTCAAAAATTCGTTAAGTGTGATGAACATATCGAACAATCAACCTGAAAAAACAACCAAACATTATCATCCCAACTTTGAAGGGACATATACATTACCGATGATAATTGATTTATTTCTGAATATGGAAAACGTGGACAGTGAATTATCAAAACACGATTGGATTCAAAGATGCAAAGCATTATACAATGGTATTGAAACAAAGATGAAAACTTTATTAGAATTTGAAGAAACGTATGAAATAAAAGAATCTCTTCGATGGTTACCAGATCTTCATTTATATTTTCTCTATTTAATAAAATATGTCGACAACCAAATATCGAATGGCTTATTTTGTATCGTTTTTTTTCTGGTCGATTTATACAGACAACTTGAACAAGAACAAACAAATAATCAATACATTTCCACAACGACATGTTATCGAGGTCAATGTATGTCAGATGATGAATTGAAATCTTTACAAGAATCATATAACCTAAACCGAAATTCATTGACGAATACATGTGATAATTTTTATATTATTGCTAATACATTTCTCTCGACAACGAGTAATCGCCAAACAGATCTTGCAGGTTTTTCAGGTTAAATAACGAAAATAATCAGAAAAAAATTAGATACTGATATAGAGGATGACTTTTCTAGTGATGATACAGGGTGGTAAATAATATTATTCCAGGGGGGTAACACTATGATCTCGAATCGGAGATATCATGAATTTTATACCAAATGAAAGCTCGTGAAAAATGGGGTTTAGTGATAGTNCTCTATTGAACAAGTTTGAATTCTCGTTTAAGATTGCTAAATGTTTTGTTCCAAAATATATTACACTAGAATCAATGATTGTACCATTCCGACCTCCATTCTGGCTCGAAAGTAAAAGTTGGTTTATCAAATGTGACCATCAGAGATGCAGATATGCTGAATTGTTTCACCTCTATTCAATACCACTCTTTCAGAATCATTTCGCATAATCTGAGTACCAAGATATGATTCTACATTCTACATCAAACACCGCTGAAAATAGTGCAACAATCGTCGTCAATACATGCAAGTTATCGTTGGAGTTGGACAAAATGACGTTGAATGAAACTCAACACAAAGTAAAACATTATTTTACATTTTTTAAATCGATTATTTCTTCTCCAACAAACAATACTTCTGAACAGCAAAGTCAATAGATTATGACTGTAATTTAAAATTGAGTCATGTTTAAGGTTTTTCATAGACTCTTATTGATTGAATTTTCGGACATTTTCTCGATTCAAACGATAGTTAATTCCTATTAATTTTCGGTATTCGTTCATTAAAAGTGAATAGAACTGTTCTTTAATGCACTATTCGCTGATACTGAATTTTTTTCCAGAAAAGGGATCTCTCAGTACAGTTAGGAAATGTATCTTTAGAAAAATTTCTCCACACCTAAACTTTTCATTCATAATAGTTTAAAAGTAATATTCATCTATGAATTCTAATTCTAGAAACATAGTTTCAAGGAAGAATCAAAATAAATGTTTTCCAGTCCATACTTAACACAGCAGTAAGGAGGCAATTTGACTTTAACCATCTTCAAATAATTCATAATCTTGTAACTTCGTCATTGATAGATGGGATATTTAGAAAATTCTTATACGAGGTAGATAATTTTTGAATTGTTTGCAGCGAAATCATCATCACTAATCGGTAACGCAAGTTCATAATGAAATACACTTATTTGTTACGCTACCCTACCTTAGTTTATGTGAGACAAATACTTCACCGCAATTCGATCGGTACTTGTGTTAATCTGTGGACGCTTTGCAGGTTGATGTAGTTCAATAGTCTTCAACATATTGGAAAAATAAACATTAGAAACTCTCGAATCGTTTAAGACTCGCAAGTATTTCAAGTCAATAGGAAAATATTTTACTTTTGTGTTGAAGAAAATGATTTCATGCTTACCAAAGATTATTTGTAAATTACTGTTCTGCGCATTCAAACTTTGTACTGTTTGATTTATATGAAAATTGCTTTTATGCCTGTATTAAGCACTTTTAGTAGAGCATTCGTTTGAGTCTTCTTGTATTTTTTTCTGTTCTATGACGATAAAATGGTAAATGTAAGAAAGTTTGGAAGACAATCATTTCTTTTTAAAGACACTGTCTTTTGGAAGATCTGTAAAAAAAGGGGTGTTAATATCGATATGAATGAACAAAAAGGCTTGTCCACGTAATGCGCTACTTCGGTGATGAAGTTTTTGAAAAATTTTTTTTTTTCGAGATGCGCCGATCTCGACACATCATTAGATGTAGTTTTTTGCGCTGATTACGAATTTAATATTCGTTCTTGAAAAAAATCGTATTTTTAATTTCTCAAGGGAAAATTTTTTTTGAAAACGTCTGATTATCATACCATTCGATACAGAATTTAATTCTCTACAAAATAGCGTATTTATTTTTAACTTTGACTCCAGAAGACAAATTTTATATTGTTGGAGAGTTTTCAACTTCCCATACTAATAACGAGCTTCCACGTCGCCGTAACTACTTGATTTTTTGAACAGAGGTTATATGTAGAGAAAAGACCAATTGCCGTAAAAATCAAATAGATTTGAGCACGTTAAGTGACCCAAAATTGATCGACAAAAAAGAGTGTCACAGCGTTACATTTTCTTTTTTCATTTTTTATACGAATAACGAGAACTAGGGGAAAATTTTTTTTTACCATTGGAAAGCTCGTTTCATTCTCTACAAAGTTGGTCCAGGCCTACTTTAACTGGAGATCGTCGTTCGTAGGGAATTGAAAGACGAGCCCGAGCGTTGCAAACTCAGGATCCTTTTATGTCACAGTGTTACATGACTATAAACCATTTCTGTAAACTATAGAGTTCAACCAAAAAACATCAAATTTATAGTATAGATAGAACTCTTCGAGCTGCGTCGAATGACGTTTGAATGAACTTTCTAGCTATCATTGTTCTCGAGATATTTCAAAAAAAGATTGCCAAAATGTCACAGCGTTACGCTTGGACAAACCGAAAAGTTCCTCACCCATATCTTAAAGTTTATTTAAGATAGAACACTGATTGAATGTTGATGATCATTTATCCTTGAATGAAAAATATTGTTCATTCTTGCAATACATTTCCTTTAATATAGACGCATGCATTATGCTCAGACTATCTATTTCGTTGGATTAATCTGAAAGAAAGTATTTTTCTATGGATGTTTTAAAAAATAGTACGCAAGACTTTTCCTTGCAAAATATTCAATAAAGGACATTACAAGACACTATTTTATACAAAAAGGAAAGACTTGCCATATAAATCCCTTAAATTCTCCAACTCAATGTAGACTATCCTTAATTTAATTTGTTTCATTCGAAATACTGCATATTTCCTATTTGAATGTTTTAAAATATTTTACACCTTTTGTTTTAGATTAGTTCAACACAAAATTATATCTTTTCGAATGTAACAGATCTTAGTCTCATAATCAATCAAATATGGTTTGTCGATTTAATTAAAAATCTTTCAATCATTGTTAATCTATCTAGTCTTGACAAGTTGAAGTTGATGTTGCGGTCTAATTTGAAGATTTTAAGTTTGGACGCTGGTGCGAAAATTCTATTCAATCAAGCATCGAATCTTCGTTCAATTGAAATAGAATGTAATTATGCTACTATGGGGATGTTAGATATTAATGATATCATTTCAAAATTACCTTTACATGTCAAACGTCTTGAAACTCGTCTTCATAATCTGGAACCCGCAAGAATTATATTGGAGAGAGTAGAATATTTATCATTTGTCACATTTCACGTACCTGAGAGATATGAATTCTGGAACGGTATCGTTGAATGGCTCATCAAAAGTGGAAGAAAAGCTACAATTCAAGACGAGCCGGATCCGGATCATTATTGTAGTATCGCATTCTGCAGTTACAATGTACATGTGGTTTAACAGGAGCACGAGTAACCAAATAGATACATCAGTTAAACACAAATGTGTGAAGCTAATACGTCTCAATGACTAGTCATGATTAGATGATTTCATTCTTCTGTATCACTCTTGATTTCTATCGTTCATTAACATGTTAATTCATTTATTGTACAACTCATCTTTGAATAGAAGTCAACAACTTTATAAAATATTCTTCTTTTTCTTTGATAAACATATTGCATGAAAATATTTGTGCCAGCAAAGCCTTGTCTCTTCATTTACATTTGCACACTAACTAGAATTATTGCATAGATTTAT